CCCCACCCCCCCACTCAACCACTGAGCCAAGTCCTTTTAACTATGGAAAGAGGATCCAATTAACCATTTAAATTACTAGTCTCCTGCTGTCCTCAGTTCCCTTCACTGTAATTGTTTTCTACTCACTTACCTTTATCTCCCCAAAATGTATCTAAGATGAGCGACATTCACTTTAAAAAGTAGATTTTCAGAAGATATCAGAGAGATAGGACAAAAGTGGGAGAGTTCCTTATTTGTACACTCAAGCTCATATGTCCTAACTGCTGGAGATGCTACTTGAGTGGCCCTCACCCCACTGAGTAAGTGTGGGTGGAGAGAAGCAGCCTGTGCACTGGAGCGGGGTCTTGCGCTGTCCCAGGGGGTGTCAGTGTCCACGCTGTCCACGTTGTACTCGTGGTAGAGCCGTGGCTTCAAGGAAGCCTTCTGCAGCCATGCACTCTAGGAGGAGGGTTTCTCAATCAGAACAGCTATTATTCAGAAAGTATTTTATTTCCTTTCAGAGACATGTGATCCAAGGCCATTCTCACGGTCCTCGTCCAACCAGGAAACACATCCAGATTCTTTAAGACAGAGACATTTTAATACAGGAAATTGACTACACATGATGAAAGAGACTGAGAAGCCAAACACAATAGTCAATCAAACCAGAGGTTAGAAACTATAGGAAGCAGGGTCCTCCCCTAGGTGGGAAATGGATATATAAAGGGAAGAAAGGTTTACTAAGGCCTTGGAGTCAGAGAGAAAGAGAGAGAGAGAGAGAGAGAGAAGAAAGGAAGACTTTTCTGCCCAAGCAGAGATGCAAGGAGAAAAATACCTGGCTTTTCCTCCTTCTGCCATCTAACCTCCCAGTAGTGCCTCCCAATGACCAAACCAACTAGAAGCCACATGACAACCACAGCTAAGGAAACAGTCAGTTCCCTGAGAGTCAGACACCACCCTGAGGATGGCCAGCTCTTAACAGCACGGTCATCTGTTACTGGGATTAGCCACATTCTGGAATTTATGAATGGAGAATGTTTAATGCAACTTTCTTCCATCCCATTCACACATTTCGTTCATGTAATGATATATTAATTTTTCCAACTTTCCAAAAGTATTCTTTTTCCTACTTTGTATCACAGCAAAGATATTGAATTAACTTGGAGATTACACATAGGAATAACAACTACTTAGCTCGTTGGTGTTTGGAACTCATAAATAATAATTATGTTCTTAATTCCCTCTTAGTTAACAAAACACTTTCACTTAGACTTTTTGAAACTCATAAAAACCTCTGAATAGTTATCATTATTTCCATTTTATAGAAAGGTTATGTGAGTCTTGGAGACTTTATGTGAATTGCTCACACACAAACAAAAAATACTGGAGCCAGAATCTAAACTCTGGTCTGTCTGGTTCCAAATCCCATAATCTTCTCACGCTGCCTCGTGAAGAAAGGACTTGCCCACAGGGCACAAGAAGAGAGGTTTTTTGGGCTGGTTGACTGAGTTGAGATGGATAGAGAGAATATGTTCTAAATTTGCAAAAAAAAAAAAAAAAAAGTCCTTCTTGCTCCTGAAATTAAAATTATTCCCTAGCATAAGTGACACTGGGTTTTTATAGCACTCTAAAGAATTACATTCTCCCCAAAGAAATTGCATTCTTGACCTGAGCACAACTAAATTCAGTATTTCAATATATTGGCTGGTTTTTCCAGAAGGGTCAATGTCACAGCAGTGTGTACTGTCCCAACCTAACAGAGATGCCCTATGGAGAATGTGTGTGTGTGTGTGGGGGGGTGATGCCATAATTACCATCTCCCATCTCTCTTCAATAAAATACAGCATCCCGGTAAAGTTTGCATATCAGATAAATAATGAATATTTTTAGAGTAATTGTATCCCAAAGATTGCTTGGAACATATTTATAACTAAAAGATTATTTGTTGCTCATCAGGCATTCAAATGGCATCTTGTAATTCGCTAAGTCTGGCAACCTTATCTCAAGGTGGGCAGTGATCCCAAGATTTCAGGGGTGTGTGTGTGTGTGTGTGTGTGAGGACAGGACAGGAGGACAGGAGTCCATATGGCTCTATTTTTGCCATCTGTGTCCTGTATGTGCCATAAGGGAATAATTCCTGCACAGGTGCAGAAGTGAAGGAGGCCTGGACAGGGGATTCCCATTGTCAGGTAAACACTGATGTATTCTGAACAGAGATTCCCTCAGGAAAAGGAGAGCTGACCTGGTCTGAAGTGAAAATTAAAGTTGACTTGCCCGGTTTCAATTAGCTTTTCTGTTAGTCTCTTTTCACTGGTGAGTATTCAAATCTGACCAGGAAGTTAAAAATAACCTCAGAGATGTGTGAACTTATTCTAAGAAAGGGAAAGAGGAAGGGCCCAAGATGGCCTACCTATGTCAGGCAGAAAGTTCTCAGGTCCCATGGAATAGGTGAGAAGGTGCATATAGCACTGGTGCTGCTGACCCAGGAGAAGACTGGAAAACCAAGGATGCACTTCCTAAGCTGATATCAGGACAGATAAGCTGATAAGGCAGATGGACACATCTGATTCTGAGGATTGCAGAGCTGGGAGGGGATGCCTCTGGCTACCAGTAGGAGGGTTATCAATTTAACAGCACCTACAGTGAGAGAAAGCACCCTGCTCCCTCATCCTGGAACTCAGGGAGGGCAGCTGAGGTTTGCTCTGACCCCGACCCTGAGCTGGTCTGAAATCTGGAGGAAGTCATTATTATCCCTAGGTGTTTGTGTGTCCGGTAAAAATGCAGTGGTAGAGAGTTGGGTAGTTGAATTTCCCTTACAGTTCCTCTTAGTTTTAAAATTCTGTTGGCATGTGGTATTTTTAAACCTTCTCATGACTCCTATTTTGTGTTCACTGGCTGGCAAGAGGGCTGATACACACACTTCATCAATAATCCTTACTATGTAGAAAGATTTCATTTTTCATTTCACCTCAGTCTTTTTTATTATTCAGGCATAATTTTTTAAAAAAATTGTAGGGACTATATTCAAATGAATTAATGAGTGAGATTTTTTCTAACAGCTTCAGGTCAACAAAACAGTTAGTGACTGTTGTATTGTTTTGCCTTGAGGTCACAATGTTTCAATCCCAGTTCATTATTCATTCATTCAGCAAATATTTATGGAATCCACGAGATGCATCAGACAGACTTGAGCTTTGGGCATAATACTTCAACAGAACTACAAAACACAGAAAACTCTCGCGACCTGAGACCTGATTCCTCCAGTCCTTTCTTTCTCTCTTTGGACTCGTGGGAGTTTCAGTGTTCAGCCACCTGCCTAGCAAATGGTAGAAGCAAGGTGGAAATGAGTTCTTGTTGACAGTTACAGTGAAAGGCTGAAAGTGTTGGTTAAATTGAGGTATTTGAATAATCTGTGGGTTTCCACCTCCCTGTAGTTGTGGGCCTCCAAGACCAGACATAAGTGGGAACTACCTCCTTCAATCAAGAGTGCAAAACTTCCCTCTGGAATACGCTCATCTTATTTGCTTTGTTCTTAATCTTTATCCACAGGGCTGTACTTGAGATGGAGTTACTGCTCTTCCGGCTCCTCCTGGGTTTTCACTTCCTGACAGTAGAATGGAGGGACAGAAATGGAATGGCCACAGCAGCTTCCCAAGGGGGCTGCAAGTTGGTGAGTTTTCTGGGGAACTCCAAGTTATCTGTTGCTCCTGCACTGACAGGGTTTGGTCGATTTGGAAAGCTGGTGGATTATCAGTCCAGGAGGGCACAGAGTCAGTGGTGGTGGATCATCTGCTCTTTAATGAAAGATTAAAATGATGTCTAGAGGGCTCTCCTGCTGGTGCAACGGGTTAAAGCACCACATTCTGAATCTCTCCGAAGTCACTGCAGCATGAGTTCAATTCCCGGCCAGGGAGCTGACCCACATGGCACAGCAGACCTCTCCTGACCCACCCTCAGCAGTGTACTTTGTCAATCTGCCTGTTCTGCTCCCCACTCTGTTTCTGGCAATCCTCACACTGACCACACCTATGGTCTGTACCCCAGTTCTGTAAGCATAAATAAATAAATCTTTAAAAAAAAAAAGATGTCTAGGAAGAGTCAGGTTGACCCTGCCCTACCTTTCTCGTACTTGCTGAAAGCAGGAGGCTGCAGAGACAGGACTGGGTTAGCCACCTGAAACAAGAACACCTTGTTAAAAATGTGATGATCGATAAAAAAAGATAAGCTCGTGCCATTCGGAGCAACATGGATGGAGCCGAAAGGGATCATACTGAGTGAAATAAGCAAGAAAGTAAAGAAAAATACCAGATGGTTTCCTCCTCCTTAGGAGGAATGTAAAGGATCCAAATAAGGGATCGGGGTGGGGGGAGTAATTATAATAAAGTAAATACCAAAATCAACAGGCAACTATAAACCAGAGACATTCTGGGGGAGAGGGAATAGGATCAAAACAGGAGTGGGATGATGGTGATGGTACATAGGCAAATTAATGGTGGGAATTTCACGGGGTCTATAACCGAGATGAAAATGCATGATGCATTATACAAAAATAAAAAATGATGTAAAAATATTTTTAAAAATCTAGATGATTCCTCACCACTAATGGTATCAGAATCTCTGGGTAGGGCATATTAAAGTTTGAGAACCCAGCCTCAAATTTTGTGTATAAGTAAATTCTTAATCAGCTGCACTATCCTTGATCTTAAGCTTAAGAAGCTCTAGGGAACTGGATACCTGACCTTCTCATGGTTTACCTCTTCCAAGACTCTCAGCTTTTGAGTAAAACAGACTTGGCTCGTGAAAACTGAAAACATTCATAGAAATTTTCTCCTCTGCTTATAATTACATGATATCAAAATCTTCTAAATAAACAAACATTTAATAAACTCACTTGAGCCCTATTGTGTCTAGGCACGGGGAGGACACATTGGATGTCAGGGTTATTTCCTAATTTAAAAACTGTGTTCTTAAGGCTGATATCTTGGTTATGGCTCTTAACCACTTTTAGTAACCTCTAACCTCTAACCACTGTGCTGGAGTATACTCCAGTATCGGCTAGGAGTTATGAACCAGACCATAAACAACCACACTTACTAGCTGGTGATATTGAGGCCACTCTGTGCCCCAGTTTCCTCACCTGAAAATACAGAGGTAATAATAGTACCAACTAATGATACTATTATACTGGGTTGGTATAATGGTTAGATGAATTGATGTGTTAAATTCCTCACAACAGTGCCAAGCATGTCCTAAATGCTGTGTTTAGCTATTAGTATCGGTAGCAGTAGTAGTCACTCCCAGTGAGGCTTCTACTGTTCCCTTACAAAGATAGTAAGAGGTTAACTTAGCAGTAGCTACTCAGAGTCACCAGACATGAGAAAAAGCTGGACGAAAGCATGAAATCTTCGACAGCTTTACAGGGCTTAGTCTGGACTCCCTGCTTGGCCCCCTCTAGCCTGGTGAGCAGGAGTAGGGATTCGGGATTCTGCTGCCACTGAGCTCAGAGTGGCTTTCTTGCAGCTGTTTTGAATTGTATGTGAGAGTTTGAGACTCCATTGGTTCCTCCTCACATTAGTCATGTGACATGACAATAATGTGAACATGGTAAGTTTTCTTGGGATCTGAGGATCGTGTGGTCCTTTTATAGGACATCAGTGGATCTGCAGGAAATTAGGAGGTTTGAACCCTACTACTGCAGCAGCTGTGGTGAAACGGTCTCCCAACTTGGGAAAACCCCCAGCCACAACATTGTCTGGAGAGGACCTGTTGCTGGGGAGACCAACACCTATTCAAATAAAGAAATGCACCTTGTTTCTTTATGGGGAAATTCACTTTTGTAAAGCTGTCAGTTCTCCCCCAAATTACTCCACGACTGTAATGCAATTTTGCCTTGCAAAATTCTGTAGACCTTTTTGCAAGGCAAGGAGGTATGAAAGGAACTAGATAAATTCCTGCTAATACTCATGGGAAAATTAGAAATAGCTCAGATGTAAAACAGTAAATTAATTGGTTAATAATTATAGCTAACATTTATTTATCATTTATGTGCCAAGTTCTATGTTGTGTTTTACATCAACAATCCTAAACACTAAATACTAATAAATAAATAACTAAATAAACCCCACATGAAAGTTAGAAATCTAATTTTCATTTTCAGGTGGAATAATGAAGATCCTAACTGGTTAAGTGGTAGCTCAGGGTCATTCATTTCATAAAAAGAAAAACCTACAATTCTTGTTTTTTAACCATTGTGTAGTTCATGCATAATATATAATTGCTAAAAAGATTGTAATGAAATTTATTTTTATTGCCAATGGAGTATCACATATTATTGTCTATTACATATTATTGTAAGGGGTGAAATAGATTACTGAACAGTTTGTAAAGTACAGCCTCAGTAAAAAAAAGTTTTACAGGTAACCAAAAGAGCCAGAAGATGTTTTAAAAAATGGTGTTTCTTTTATGCAGAGGTTAAGATTACAGAAGTTTAATTTTCTATATTTTCAAACTATGTCAATTTTCAATTATAGAAAGTTATATTTTATTTATTTATTTTTCTGTGTGTAAAAGAACTGGGGTGCAGACCAGAGGTGTATGTGAGGGGTGAGAGGAATTATAAGAGACAGAGTGGGGAGCAAAACAGGCAGATCTACTGAAATACACTGCTGAGGGGAGCAGTGGCTGAGACAGGAGAGGTCTGCTGCACCATGTGGGTCAGCTCCCTGGCTGGGAATCAAAGGCCCATTAGCAGTGGGCCTTTGCAGTGGTGGCCTTAGGCCACCAGGGGGCCCCCTAGAAGGTTTTATTTTAATAATCTAGTAAAGAACTGGGGCGCTAAGAGGTTAATTCCATGCCCAAGCCCAAAGCTAACAGGTAGCCACTGTCATGGCTCAGCATTGGTGCTTATATCTTCTCTAACAGGCTGTGCGTTTTAAGTGAGGCCTATACTCAGCTCCTAGATAAAGAACAAAGAAAAGTTCTCTTTTGTTCTACATTTTCCTGTCTTAAAAAATATCATGGTCTCTAGAGTCATTCCCAAAGTTACAGGAGCAGTGTGATGAATGAACCAAATTTCTGTACATAAACTTCTGCCTCGCAGACTTCCTCCTCGCTGACCAGTATGTTTTGGTCCTAGATCGGTGGAGTTGTTGACTGTCGAGGGCAGAACTTGGCTTCAGTGCCCAGCAACCTTCCCCCTGACTCCCAGGTGCTCATCCTGGATGCCAACCCTCTCAAGACCCTGCGGAATCAGTCCCTCCAGCCCTATCCTCTCTTACAGAGCCTCAGTCTGCACAGCTGCCATCTGGCGCACATCAGCCTTGGCGCCTTCCAGGAGCAGACCCACCTGCGCAGCCTGGCCCTGCCAGATAACTCCCTCTCAGAGAACTACAAGGAGACGGCAGCTGCTCTCCACAGCCTGCATGGTCTGCAGAGGCTGGACTTGTCAGGGAACTCTCTGACGGAAGATATGGTGGCCCTCATGCTCCAGAACCTCTCCTCGCTGGAGTCTGTGTCCCTGGCGAGGAACACCATCATGAGGCTGGATGACTCTGTCTTTGAGGGCCTAGGGCACCTCAGGGAGCTGGATTTGCAGAGAAACTATATTTTTGAGATTGAGGGTGAGGCTTTCAACGGCTTGACTGAGCTGAGACACCTCAACCTGGCCTATAACAACCTCCCTTGTATTGTGGACTTCAGCCTCACACAACTACGCTTCCTCAACGTCAGCTACAATGTCCTGGAATGGTTCTTGGCATCAGGGGGAGAGGCTGCCTTTGAACTGGAGACACTGGACCTCTCTCACAATCAGCTGCTGTTTTTCCCTCTGCTGCCCCAGTCCAGCAAGCTGCACACACTCCTGCTGCGGGACAACAACATGGGCTTCTACAGGGACCTGTATAACACCTCATCACCACAGGAGATGGTGGCCCAGTTCCTCCTAGTGGACGGCAACGTGACCAGCATCACCACTGTCAACCTCTGGGAAGAGTTTGCTTCCAGCGACCTCTCTGTTCTGCGCTTCCTGGATATGAGCCAGAACCAGTTCCAGTACCTGCCAGATGGCTTCCTAAGGAAAATGCCTTCCCTTTCCCGCCTGAATCTCAGCCAGAATTGCTTAATGATGCTCCACATCCAGGAGCACGAGCCCCCAGGAACACTCACCGAACTGGACCTGAGTCAGAACCAGCTGTCGAACCTGTACTTGGCTCCGGGGCTCTCCAGCTGCCTAAGGAGCCTCCAGTTGTTCAACCTGAGCTCCAACCAGCTCTTGGGGGTCCCCCCTGGCCTCTTTGCAGATGCCAGTAACATCACTACAGTCGACATGAGCCACAATCAGATTTCACTTTGTCCAGCACCAGCTGGCTTAGATCAGGTGGTCTCCCCCAGTTGTGTGGATTTCAGGAATGTGACATCTTTAAGGACACTCTCTCTGGAGGACTGTGGGCTGCAGGCATTACAAAACTGCTCATTCCAGGGGACCTCCCTGACCCACCTAGACCTGTCGGGTAACTGGGGGGTTCTGAATGGGAGCATTGCCCCTCTCCAGGATATTGCCCCCACTTTACAAGTCCTGTCTCTCAGGAATGTGGGCCTCAGTTCCAGCTTCATGGAGCTGGACTTCTCTGGGTTTGGGAATCTGCGGGACCTGGATCTGTCAGGAAATTCCTTGACCAGTTTCCCAAGGTTCGGGGGCACCCTGGCCCTACAGACGCTAGATCTCCGCAGAAACTCTCTCACAGCCCTCCCCCAGACAGCGGTGTCTGAGCAGCTCCTGAGAAGTCTGCGAACCATCTACCTCAGTCAGAACCCGTATGACTGCTGTGGAGTGGCGGGCTGGGAGGCCCTGCAGCCCCTGCAGACTGTCGCTGACTTGGCTGTGGTCACTTGCAACCTTTCCTCCAAGATCATTCGCCTGACAGACCTGCCCGGGGGTGTGCTGCGAGACTGCAAGTGGGAGCGGGTGGACATGGGCCTGCTGTACCTTGTGCTCATCCTCCCCAGCTGCCTCACCCTGCTGGTGGCCTGCACTGTCATCTTCCTCACTTTTAAGAAGCCGCTGCTTCAGGTAATCAAGAGCCGCTGCCACTGGTCCTCCATATACTGACCTGGCCATGCGACAAGGTTCGAAAGTAGGTCTGCACATGTAAGGACACTTCCTCTGCCAGGTTTTGAGATCCACAGCAGATCAGAGTGATGAAGCAAGGTTTAAAGTTTAAAATGTTTTCAATGCCTTAGTCGCCCCAAATTCTTCCTCTATCGTTATGATTCACCCTCATCCTCCTGGTAAAATATTTATTAAGTGACGTTCCACACACACACAAAAAAATGTGTCTCATAAATATTTTAAAAATCAAATGCAGTGTGCGTTTTCTTCCTTAATGTTCTTTGGTGATTTCACTTAGGTTACTTTTCAGTGCCCTTCTTGTGGTGACATCCGTGGAGTTGGTGAGAAAGGATGGAAATTCAGTGTGACCTAAGCAAAACCACTCTAAGAGTGCAACCTGTGAATGGTTAAGTGTATCCTGGGAGCTCACCCAGAGCAGGAGTTTCAGAGCCAGCCTGAGGGGTCCCAGATAAGGATTCTCAGGTCGTCTTGACTGGCTTTCATGGTCACTGCAGCCAGAGCAGACTGCAGCAGGGGTCTTCTCTGGATGTCTTGGTTTATAGCTGGGATCACTAGGGTGCAAACTTAACCTGTTCAAGAGAAAGTTAACAGAACACTAACTGGATCCTAAGTTCATTCATTCAGGAACATCAGAAACAGTCCTTGTTCTGAGGGACAACAGAGAAATGTGAAAAGGGGTTGAATTCTGTTAACTTGGAACTTCTCCCTCCCTTCACATAAAACCAGAAACAATTTCTTAGCAAATGTTTGGTCTCTGTGTTCATTACATTCACAGTGGCCTTTCTCCCTACCTTCCGTCTACTGACGTTTCTATGCTCCTCTCCAGGAAAAGGTAATCAAGACACAGCCATTGCACCTCTTGTAGTTCACCCTAGCACTTTTTTACTTCTTATTAAATCCTAAAGAGGCTAAAGGTAGAGGTGGGGGGTGGGAGTTAGGGAAGACAGAAATCCCACAAGCTGGTTACTACTACTGTCAAAACTAAATGTTTAAGCACATCAAATCAAAGCGATAAAATCATTGGCCTTATGCTAAAAAAAAGAAACTCCCTTTGGATGTCCTGCAAGGTATCAACAAGCCACTTCAGTGGGGCCACACTCTGTAGCCCTGGTGTCAGCCCTGTAGTGATCATCCTACTGCACCTCCATCTTTTCCATCAGCGTGTGTCCCTCTCCACCCTGCACTGCCCGACCTCGCACCATGGACAGCCTCAGGTTGCCTTGAAGCCTGTACCCCAATCAGCCAAAGCCCTCGAGGTAGACCCTCCTGATTTCCTGGGATTCTGATGTTCCCACAGGTGGAGTTAATAATGAGATGACTCTCTCAGTGGCTGGTCCATTGATGGCTTCCCCCCAGTGAAGGCATCATCCCTTGTATTAGTTGGTGTTTTTACTTTCTTGCAACTGAGAATTTAGTCAAAGGAGATTGGGAAGCTCTAAATTACGGGAAGACTAGGGAGCAGCTTTGGGAAATGGGCAGGAGGAGGGGATCCCATGCAGCAGGGGGGACTCCTGCCCAAATCAGGCCCAAAACAAAAATCGTGAGCATGTGACTGCAGTCAGCCTTTGGACTCCACTGTATGCATGGCAGCCACTGACAGCTCTGGGCAGGGCCGTGGCCATGCCAACTGTGCCATCCAGTGCTGAAAGGAAAGCGCCTCTGATTTCCGCTGTGCTGTTTCGAGCTCCTGGTGCACCATCTAGGGCAAGGCAACCTGGGTTGTTGGCCTTTGGTCACAGGTCCCTGCTGGCTATGGGACAGGCTGGAACAGCAAATGCTGTACCTCTGGCGAGGCATCTAGCTGAAATAGTTCTGCTTCCTATCAATACTCACAAGGGGTGGAGTTCTCAGAACAGGAAGGGAAGTTTGATGTTGAGAAGACAAAAAGTAAGCAAATGTGCACCACACCCTGTTTGGCAGCAGCATGCACATTTTAGCATGAGACTTCTTGAAGATACAATTTTTAGCATAAAGGAAGAGCTTGATTGATGGAAACTTCAGCAGACCTTCAGGCCAGCAAGGGAGATAGCCGGGACCAGGCAGTGTTTTTGAAGCCCCTCACATCACACTATGTAGCTCACTACCCCCTTCACCTGTACTCAGGGCCTAGCTTGTGGGATGACAAACTGAGAGGAGTTAGGACAGAACCCTCCTCCTGCCTTGGACAGTGACCTCAGAAGTCACTGTGGGCTTTTCTTAGCTGCGTACTCTATTTCTGAGGTCCAAAGGTTATTTCCTAGTTTTCTTTCATTATGATGAGAAGGAGGGGAAGAACAGTTTTGCTTTGTTTTTTATGTGAGATTCCTGAACTCTGGGTGATAGAGTAGGTTAATTTTTTTACAAATTCTATACTTTGTCCTTCCACCTGTTTCCACCTACAAAAGAGTACACTCTAGTGTCCATTCCAAGTGCTCTAAGGGAAAGACTCAGAGTTGTTCTCAGTACCTCTGAGAGAGCTCAGGTCTTTAGCTCTTGACCTTTGCTCTACCAGGAGACCAGGACCCAAGTTGACTTCAAGAGAAAGAGCGCCAAGGACAGAGCTCCTCAGGCCAGGTGGAATCTCCCTCAAGCACACATCTGAGGGTCCTTTAAATGGTCTTTAGTGACCGTTCGCAGGCGCTTCCTTTGTGTCCCTCGCTCAAGTTCTAGAAATGACTTTTGTTTTATTGTAACTTTTATAATTAAATTGATTTACATACATATTTTAAATTGTGTTCTTTTTCATGTGATTTTTCTCCCCTTAGTGTAGTCCCTGTATCTCTTCCACCACGGCACCCATGATCCATCAGCACAGTTCCTTGTGCTCTTCTCTCCCGTTTTGATCCCTCTCCCTCTCCAGTCCTACACCTCAGATCAATGATCATCGAAGAGCTACAAAGAGCTACACAACTCAACAAAAAACAAAGCCAACAACCCAACAATGAGTGAAAGAGCTAAAAAAAGACACTCTTCTGGTGGCACAACAGGTTAAAACACTGCATTATGAAGCTCTCCGAAGCCACTGCAGCACGAGTTCAATCCCTAGCCGGGGAGCTGACCCACATGGCGTGGCAGACCTCTCCTCACCCACCCGCTGCTCCCCTCAGCAGTGCACTTAGTCAATCTGCCTGTTCTGCTCCCCACTCTGTCTCTGGTGAATCCTCTCACCCACCACACCTCTGGCCTATTCCCCCATTCTGTAAGCACAAATAAATAAATCTTAAAAAAAAAAAAAAAGACACTCTCCCAAGAAGAAAAGCAAGTCACCAACAACTATATGAAAAAAATGCTCAACACCATTTATGATCAGGGAAATGCAAATTCAGATGACGTTGCTTCAATTGCCCTGTCTTCATGCCAGTGCAGTGACCATCCTCAGCAGCAGTTGCCTGTTCTTAGTCCCCTGGTCATTCCTCTGGCACCCAGCCTTGCACTCCCACCACCTCCAGATCCTTCATATGGAAATTAAGGAAAACTAGATTCCAAACTTCTGTTGTATTTCAAATTCTTATCCCTGAATACATTGACCTTGTAACTTATAAATCTTCTCCTTGCTTATTTCAAGGGTGTTTAGCATGTAAAAGGCTACACAACAGACTGCTTGTCAAATAAGAACATGGACAGCTATACTGATACCAGTTCAACCCATGTCACAATGATTAATCCTTAGTAACATTAGATTAACAGTATCTCACATGTTGCTGAGACTGAATTTTCTTGCATAATCTCAAAATCTTAGCAGAGGTAGCATTAGTAGATCTTATTTTGAAAAGTCTTTCCCACAGATCTCCAAAAACATTATCTAAGAGGAGGGCATGGGGAAGGCACATTTGACCAAACCAAATTTTAGTGGGGAGAAAACTGGCTTGAAGAGCGCAACCCCAAGCAGACTCCTAGGGGAAGGATGGGCCAGCTTGGCAAGACCAGAGAGAGTGAAAAGGAAGGCCATACTTTCTAGAGGGTGGGTGTGTTTCTTTCTTTTCCGCTACGGGTGTCATGGTAAGCACATCCCTTTAGCTGAATGCCCTGGAGGGAAGCCCTGAGCTTCCTGTTGTCTTACCCAGTGCTGCAAAATTCAAGCTAGAAAAAAAGGGAAAAGGCGGGTAATGGGAAACTTCTATGGCTAGGTCAGGAATGCCAGAGGAAATCTAGCTCTTTTTCCTGGAGATTTAGAGGAAAAGGGTGCTTCTCAAATCAACCAGGATCCAGAATGTACTCTCTCTGTATAAAATGGATATTTTTGAGAAAACAGAATAAGCAACAAAGTTGAAGATCTTCAGAGACGCATATATATAAATATATATGTAAGTATATATAAGTACACATATATATAATGTATATGTAATATATACATGCATATACATGTATATGTATGTGTTTATTTATACATAGATTATGTATGTACATAGATATATGTATATTTATTTGTTACTCTTCCATATATATAATATATACTTAATCTCTCCTTACATTTGTGGGGCTGTACCTTCAAAATTTGCAAGGTTGGAAGAAGTCATTTTAATATCAGATTCTGGCCCCTGGGGTGTAGTAAACAAGTGGAACTCATGGGTCACTATATATTTATGTTTACTTATTATAGCAACATTATCGATATTTAGATATTAATTGATTTATATCACCATACAATTTACACTTAGCCAGATAGCCTATCCTTGCCTTGCTTTTCCCTAGCAACATTTTGTCTTCTATTCTTCAAAAGACTAATTTTACCCTTATTTAAATTTAGTTTGGCCATAGATCTTCCCTTCCTCCCTTCTTAGATAATGTTTTTGGAGATCTGCAGGAAAACTTAAACTAAGGTCTGCTAATGCCACCTCTGCTAAGATTTTTAGATATGCAAGACACAAACTTTTCAGGCCAACCCCAATTTCTTAAACTAGATTTCTCTAGCAGTATTATCTTCCTCCGTTGCCTGTGTTTCACATCATAGAACATCCTTCCTCTGAGAGATAAAAGCAACAAAAATTCCACTTTGATCACAACCGTTGATTAGAAAAGGAAACTCCCTCCGATTTTTTAACTTTTCAAAAATGTCATGCTTTCCCCTTGAAATATGAGTAAATTTTGCATCCCCAACTCCCCACCATTTTTCCTACCAGGTAAATACTGATGTCTAAGAGGTGGGGACAAAGCAAAGCCACCTAGCAGTTCTACTTCACTCTTTTTTTTTTTTTTTAAGAG